TCTCTCTCTGTCTCTGTCTCTCTCTGTCTCTGTCTCTCTCTCTCTCGCTCCGTCTTTGTCTTGGTCTCTGTCTTTGTCTTTGTCTTTGACTTTGACTTTGACTTTGACTTTGACTTTGACTTTGACTCTCTCCGTCTTTGTCTTAGTCTCTGTCTTTGACTTTGCCTCGGTTTCTTTCTCTTTATTGCTGTCTGTCGCTCTCTTTTTTATCATTCTCTCGTTCTCTGTGTCTCCAAAACTACCGTCTGTCTGTCTGCCCGCCTCGGTCTCTCTGTTTCTGTATAATGAGTTTCAATCAAAATTCTCTCTGTTTCTGTATAATGAGTTTGGTGCGAGCCGTGAATGGCTATCTGCAAATCGCCAAGGCCAGGCTGCGGCAGCTACTTTGGAAGGGTGAAAGATTGTGACACGCCCCCGCCACCCCCAATCACAGTATTAGCCAAATCCTGTTCGCCCTGACCAAGACGACACCAGGGAATCACTACCCAGGCCTACGACTCGCTTTCACCTGTGCTTCAGCTTACCCTATATTCGCTTTGTCTACTTCTGCTGAAATTTGCGATGGAAAGCAGATTTTGTTGTTTTTAAGCGGTAATCTGTGTGTGTGTGTGTGTGTGTTTGTGTGCGTGTGTGTTTGTGTGCGGTGCGTATGTGTGTGCGTGCGTATGTGTGTGCGTGCGTATGTGTGTGCGTGTGTGTGTGCGTGCGTGCGTGTGGTGCGTGCGTGCGTGTGGAGACTGAAACCGAAGATAATAGTAGTTTCAAAATCCTCAATGATCATATCCATGACAATTTCGAAATTATTCGAAACTATCACAACCGCTGGCATTGAGATACATCAAAGTAAGAAAGGAATCTGAAATTGTACCTCAGCTAAAAGCTAATTTCTCTCCACGATTTTTTGATATCAAAAGAAAAATCAAACAAAAAGCGGCAGGGTAATATATATCATCAAGATACCGCGTTACCAAATGAACACACAACAGGTTCTAAACAAAGGACAGCACCGATAACCTAGAAATAGAAGACAGCAAATTTGGCACATTTCCGTGGCGACAGTGACGTCAGCTCATTGTGCCAGCGTGATGAGCTTTTATGTCAATACGTGATATATGCAGGTCATCAAAACATTCTACATGTGGGGCGACGAAGGCTCGATTCCGGCCGCGGCTTCTCATAACGATTTCCATCTACGGCTGGCATCGCCACTCCCTCGCCCACTCCCTCGTAAACACCTACTTCGCGACCCTTCCGACGCCTACCCTGCCTGGTGTACAAAAGAAGAAAAAAAACTAATAATAATAATTAAAAATAAATGAAATAAAAAATAAAATAAAATACTCGATCTGACTTTGGAAGGCAAGCCTCTCTGTCATCAAATTATGTCACAAGGTTCAACTTTTACGAGCTCCTGAACTGCAGCATCACCTCTGAGTCCCTTCAGCATCTCAACGACGTCAGGCTAGTTGTGTCACAGCATCCGACACATAACCCAGGCGCAGCGGAAGTGTTGTGGCGCGGCGGGAGGACCAGCGCTGACAATTTCACGTGTCAAATTGCTAGCCAAAACAAGCACATTGCACCGCGTTCGGAAAAGATAACAAGAGTAAATCTGCCATTCGATGTTAATTTACATAATAGATCGGGTTCCTAATTCCGAAATTGTGGGCAGTCACATAAATCAAGCGCTTAGAGCTTAGTCGTGGGAGGGAGGAGCGAGGGAGGGGGATGATGTAATGAAAACAACATTAAACTGGATAAACAAGTTGGCAAAAGCAACAGCCTGCCAGTACACGGGAAATGAATGCCGAAAAAAGGTATATGTGTAGTTCTGCAAACAGCAATGTTTTGTCTGTACCTTACAAAAACGAAACTTCCAATATGACATAAACATAGGCGCACACACATACGCATTCACGTTAAACGCACGCACGCATATATACATACATATACATATACATACACATACACATATACATACATACACACATACACACACACACATACATATACATATACATACATACACACATACACTCACACACACACACACACACACACACATATATATATATATATATAATATAATATATATATATATATATATATATATATATATATATATATATATATATATATATATTATATATATATAATATATACATATATATATATATATATATATATATATATATATATATATATATATATACATATATATATACATTATACATAATACATATATATATATACATATATATATACATAATATACATATATATAATACATATATATATATATATATATAATATACATATATAAATATATATATATATATATTATATATATAATATAATATATATATATAATATAAAATAAATATATATATCATATATTATTATATATATATATAATATATACATTTATATAATATAACATATATATATATATATTATATATATATTATATATATATATATATAACATATATATATATAAATATATATATATATATATATATATATATATATATATATAATATGTATATAAATATATACATGTATATATATATATATATATATATATATATATATATATATATATATATATATATATATATAACATTATTATATATATATTATATAATATATATATATATATATATATATATTATATAATATATATATATATATAACGTATGTATATAATACATATAATAATATATATATATATATAATATATATATAATATATATATATACATATAACATTTATATATATATATATATAAAACGTATGTATATAAATATATACATATGTATTATATATATATATATATATATATATATATATATATATATATATATATATATATATATATATATATATGTGTGTGTGTGTGTGTGTGTGTGTGTGTGTGTGTGTGTGTGTGTGTGTGTGTGTGTGTGTGTGTGTGTGTGTGTGTGTGTGTGTGGTGTCCATATATATATCTGCAAACATATATACATACAACACACATACACACATATACATGCATATATATATATATATAAATATATACATATATAATATATATATATATGTATGTATGTATGTATGTATGTATATGTATATATGTATATAATATATATATATATGTATGTATGTATGTATTTATATGTTTATATATATGTATATATAATACATATATATACACATAATACATATATATCCATACATAAATACATATACATACATACATATACATTACATATATACATACATACATACATGTACATACATACATACATATATACATACACATACATACAATACATACATCATACATACATACATACATATATGTACATACATACATACATATATGTACATACATACATGTATGTACATACATACATACATACATGTATGTACATACATACATACATGTATGTACATACATACATACATGCATACACGAATAAGTACATACATACATACATATATGTATACATACATATATGTACATACATACATACATTATGTACATACATATACATACATACATACATACATATATGTACATACATACATAACATATATATGTACATACATACACATACATATATGTACATACATACATACATATATGTACATACATACATACATATATGTACATACATACATACCATATATATTACATACATACATACATACATACATATATGTACATACATATACATACATATATATATGTACATAACATACATACATACATGTATATAACATACAATACATACATATATGACATATACAACATATATGTACATACATACATACATATATGTACCATACATACATACATTATATGTACATACATGTACATACATACAATATATGTACATACATACATACATATATGTACATACATACATTATACCATATACATATGCAAAACACACACACAATGAGGAACTGGGGGAGAGAGAAATGGAGCGATCATTTCTGAATCCAAATCTCGTGGAAACGTCTGCAGCTGGGCGTTGCATTCGCTAAAGGCGCCCGCGGTCTGTCCGGGATCGTGACGCAATCCCTTCCCTCCCCATTCAACCCCGTCACCTTTACACTCGACCGACGGTCTGACGTCACACTTACGTCATCCCATTCGGCCGCCGCACGCCCGTTCCCAACGCTTCAAAGAGGAACGTCATCTCACGTCCGTGTCCGAGGATTACATGCAAAGGAAAAGCCGTCGATAGGGGCAAATGGCAAAGAAAAAGGGAAAATGGTAAATTCAAGCTTCCAGGCAAGTAAACCGACACCTCTCTTGACACGTGCTCTTACGTAAAACCAACTCCACTCCCCTGGCCGGCCGCCTTTCGCATCGCCTTCTCACTAACACCCGGAAAATGAATCATTTTTTTCATCTCGTAATTCCTGCCAACCACCTACTTGTTAAGAGAATAGATGGTGTGTGTGTGGGTGTGTGTGTGTGTGTGTGTGTGTGTGTGTGTGTGTGTGTGTGTTTGTGTGTTGTGTGTGTGTGTGTTGTGTGTGTGTGCGTGTGTGTGTGAGAGAGAAAGGGAGATGGAGCAATATACTGAGAATGAGTGGGAAAGAGCGAGCTTGTTTGTGTGAGTGTAGGTATGAACGCGTGCCCCTGCGGAGTAAGATCAAATCATTTATTTACGTACGCCCCAATGCGGCATTTAAGATAATCACAAAAAAAATATCAAGATGGTGGGGAAAAAATCCCGAATTACAGATGGCATCCATCACCAGAAACTAAAAAAGTATGTGAAAGATTAAGCTGGACTCCCTCGTTTTGAACAGAAAAAGTAAAACTGCTTCAAGCGATAAAATTACGGACCATCTTAACACAAAGACCACTGAAATACGCCGGCTAATTCTAAAACCTCTCTAGGGACAACACCGAAGCCCCACGCCGGGAATTCAACTTGGGCGGCATCCACCAGGGCATCTCCAACGGCGGCATCCACGACGGTCTTCGCAATCCATCCGC